AGTAAAAATCAAAACTTGATATAGAAAACTGCACACCTATGGCAATTCCAAATTTCTTTTGCTATTCAAAGAGTGCAATCAAGAAGAAGACTTCAAAAGAATTATTTGGGCATTGATTTTATATGATTTAAATGCATATTGAATTTTTGAAGGCTTTTCAAAGTAAGAGATGTACTCAATGGTTTTGGAGTTTGAGAAATAAAAAGAAGAATACAAATTTATAGGTGAAATTTTGTGAATTTGTCCTTGTGCTTGTTTCAAAAGTATTTAGCAAATTTTATTTCAATCAAAAAATTAGATTGAAATATATGAGAGTTTTATAAGATTAGGATCTTAGATATTTGAAATTTAGGATTGACAAAGATTTTTGCATCCTTAAAAATCCACCAATTTTATTAAAAAAAATATAGAGAGAACAAATTTTGACTTAATTATCTATTCATTAACCAATTTGTAAAGCAATTGAACCATTTAACAAGGAAAATTTTTTGCTAAAAGATCAACATCCAAGTTGGAGAAAGATAGCAACTGACATTTAACAGTTTTAAGAGCATTTTCTCTCAATTGGTGAGTTTAATTTTTCTAAAATTTTGTATACTTTTTATTTGCTTGTGGTTAAAATATGTGTAAAACTTTAGTTAAGATAAAAAATTTGATTAATAGTTATTGAGATTTTGAAAGATCTATAGGAATTAATTAGGATTTATTTAGGATTTTTTAAGTTTATTTAAGATTCTTTTAAGATTTTATCAGACATTGTTTAGGATTTGTTAGAGTTTCATTAGCATTTATTTAGAACTTACATAGGATTTATTTTGGATTTATTTAGAGTTTAATTTTTAGTAGTTTTTAAATATTTTTTTTATTTTTTAAAGATTTTTATTTAAAGATTTTTAAAGATTTTATTTTAGTATTTATTTAGGATTAATTTATTATTTTTTAAAAATTAAATTATGTCTTTTTTATGTTTTTTTAGTAATTTCTTTTAAACTTCTTTTGAATTGATTAAAGTTTGATTAGATTTGTTAAGGTTTAATTAGAATTTATTTAAGATTCTATTAAACTTATTAGGATCTTGTTGTTTTTTTTTATTTATCTTTCACAATTAGGTGCCTAGTACATTTTCAAGCTAGAATTCACATTATACAACATTGTCTTCGCTTAACAAAGAAGAAACACAAATGTATCACATTTAGTATGCTTTTATACTTCCCTTTTAAAATGGTTGACCATAAATATAAAGACCAATAGTCATTCAAAGTAGTTCATAAGGATCACAATTCCAAACCATCGACAAATGCATCTATATATGTTATTTATCTTAGATTTGATAGTTACATGAATAAGATCATCGTTGAATTGTACAATTTTGTGATTCCAACACAAAATATATAAATTCATATGAGAAATTTGCATAGTTGGCTTTCTATTCTAAAAAGGAGATTATAAAATATTTTACAAGTATTATTTTAGAAAAAATTAGATGAACAAATATTGATAGTCATATTAGTGTAAGTTTTTCATCATATAAGCTTTATTATTGAAACATCCATGGATTTTGTTAAGACCATAAACCACATTTTTTTTGTGCATCCATCTTTCACTAATATAATGTAAGCTTATGCAAATGCATTGCTTGTCAATGCCACATATAAGATAAATGCATTAAGACTTTTGTTGTTGCATATTATTTGTTGTTCTACAATATATACTCTGTTTTTAGTAGCATTTGTGTTTAAATTCAATGAAAATGAGACTTTGTACCTCACAAGAATGGAATATATTACAAAAAAATTCCACAAAGATCACTTTTCCAAAGTATTTATTATTTAATAAGAAGCTTGCTCTTATCAAGAGTATCCAGATACACTTCTTTAATGCACAAATTATTTGGTGCATTTGGCATATCATAAAAAATATTCTCAAGAAATGCAAGCCGCTCTTTACAAGCAAATCAATAGCAAGTAATTAGATTGCATTCATAAAAGAATAGTTAGCAATTATTTATGCAAAGTTGGAAGTTTATTTTTGAGAGTTGTGGATGGCATTTCAAAAGAAGTAAGATGATATTATTTCAAAGTTTCTTAAAGAAACCTGAATTGATTCATGCAAGGAGATGTTTGTATGTAGGTGGACTGATTGCATTTGGCATCTTAGCAACACAATGACTTCGCGCTCTAAAAGTGCATACTATATTTTGAAGTAGTACATTCCAACAAGCATGAACAACCTTCTTTTATATTGCAAGAATCATTATTTCTTTGATTGCAATTTTTTAATTGAATATAATATGCAACAACAATGAAAACAAATCAAAATCTATTATTTTGCTTAACCTTTATCTAAAGACAACATCTTTGAAGAGTTGAATTTACAAGTGTTGCATTTTTCTTTATACAAGGTCTATGATCAACTTGTCATTGTTAGGTAGTTGCTTAGGAAAGATAACAACTTATGTTTAGGAATTTTTACTAATATTTGGAATTTGCCTTACTTATACAAACTTTGTATATTGCTTGTTAACAAATAGAGAATGTAGCTAGATAACATTCACATACACTCATATCCACAAAGTTACATGTACCAAGGTTGAAAGCTGTACTATACCTTGATAATAATTTACATGTCATGCTTGATCATATAGCCAATAGCTTCGTGACTTTGCTTGACCATCAACAAATGGTAATAATGAAGGAGCTCAAGGCTCTATCTCAACAAGTATTTGGTTAGAGTTGGAAGTTATATGTACAAAGAGAAAACTACATCCAAAAGATACATCCATCTTACATAATTCCTTTGGATTTGAGTGTGTAGAGCCATCACAAGAATAAAAGAAGAAGCAACTCACATGTTGCACTTGCAAACAAGTTGGACATGGGCATAGACCAAACTTAAAAAATTGTCTAATAGCAAATGCCACTGATGTTGGAGTAGTTTGATTGGGGTAGATTGTTCATTGACCAATCATAGCTAAGAAGATATGGGAGTAGCCAAATTATATGTAGCAATAGGTGCATTATTTTTTAAGAAACATATTCATTAAGAAACATTAAGGAAAAATAATTATTATAAAAAATATTAAAATAAAAACTTTTTAAAAAGTGTTTCTAATAGCATAAAAAAGATTCAAACCCTTAAAAGGATTTTTTGAACTTTTTTTCTTGTGAGTGGTGTATCCTTTTTGGAGTCTTTTTGGAGTCTTTTTTTTTTTTTTTTTTTTTTTTGGAGTATTTCAGACTGTGATTTATTCATTAGTAAGTGAAAGTTTAAATATATATATATATATATATATATATATATTCAGTCATTTACAATTTGTAATTTTTTATTTTTAATTGGATAGAGTGAGGAAAGAATCCAAAAGTTTAAAATGGTGCAGTTTTCTGTAGCTAATGATGTAAATTTGAAATCACGCACTGTTTTTATTTTATTTATTTACTAACATTATTTACTCTTAAATTGTAATAATGGTTAACCACCAATCAACAAACACTCTAGCTACTATTGTGACTTATTTGATATCTAAATGCTTCTTGATTTACAAAAAAGATGTTCTGTATAGTTTGTTTTATTGTACACAAAATACAAGAATAATTACCCAATATGTTTATTATTCATCTTAAAGACAAGGATTTTATTAGATTAATGAGAATTTGTTTGTAGTCAATTAAAACTATTAAACTGTAAATTTTATCTAAGGTCTGACCAAATTTTTTTGTTGGTTACTTGTCTTGATAGTTTGTAAGGATTTATCCTCCATTTCATTACTTTTTATAACATTGGTTTTGCAATCCAATTTAGACTTTTCAAAAATACCATCAGAAAAAATACAATAGTAAAAATATTAGAATTAAGATTGATTACATATGATACCACCAAATCATAAGAATTAAATAGCATTATGTTGAATTTACTTATAAACAACTTGAATAAGTTGAATTTTGAATCACTTGTTAAAAAATTGTTTAGAATACAAGAAAAACATCTAATTTTATTCCAAATTTTCAAAGCACATTATAATATTTTTTAATTACTAATTTTGTGTAATTTTATGTACAATTTAGAGACTGTTGTTGTTGTTGTTGTTGTTGTTGTTGTTGTTTTTTTTTTAAAAATATTTTTTCTATAAAAAGGAATGGAGGTTGATAGTTTATCATAAACCAGAAATTTTAGAGGATTTTTTAATATCGAAATTTCATTGGATAAAATATACTGTGGTTTTATTGTTTTATAAATAAGAAAAGAACAAAAAATACAAAGATTTGGATTAGGGCATTAGAATTTCTGATATTTCTACAAACAAATAGATAATTTGTCTAAATATAACACTTTAGATAGTTCTCATATAAATTATCAGAGAAAAATATTAATATAAATCTTTAATTGAATAAGTACAAAATGTTGTATTGTAAAAAAGATACATATATATATATATATATATATATATATATATATATGTTTTCTAAATTATGGTGTTTGTTTATATTTTAGAATGAATTATTACTTTTAAACATCATTTTATATCAAAAATTTATTTTTATTTCAAATAAATCATAAAAATTACAATTCTAACCCTTTAATGCACACAAATATACTAAAATAATGTTTCTTTGTTTATATCATTAATATTTAAATTTTACACACATAGATTAAAAAACACATGTTAGATAACATACATTGGATTTGTTAAAGAATTTCAAAGGAAACAAGACACGTAAAATGGAATTCTAAACCACGATTGGCTCCCACAAGAGTGAGATCCAAAACTCAACCACTCACACACACGTACACAATGTGAGCTTCAAGGGGGGACAAGGGAAACCACGCGAGCAGTGCCGACGTGGAGTGTGGTCGCCACGACACCAACGATGATGCCACTTTGGCGAGCCAGTTGTCACGATGAATGCCAGGACGAGGTAGGTCGCAAATGCCTCAAGGCGGTACCAAGTTGCCACGAGTGCAGAAGACGAGGGCTATAATTAGATTGAAAGCAAGCATTCGCCAGCGTCCGTGCATTCGTTGCCCTATCTCTCGTCGCAGTGTCTCCCGTGATTTTCAGGGGGGTCGTGGAGTTTCATGAGTGGTTTTATGCTGGAGGTGGTGTCAGTGACAAAATTGTATTCATCGGTTCAATCTCGGAAGTAGGTCGATATCTGTGGAGAAATGATTTTCATGACCTTCGACAACGCTTCCTCCCTGTCCAGCTATGCACACAACCCAGTTTCTGCGATGGCGCGAGATGGAGACGTGTACCATGATCCCATTCAAGCAAATTAAGACAAGCTCTTGAGGGTACTCGGACGGAGGAGCTGGCAAGCACTCGCGTACTGCGCTTGGCGCCGTGCCAGCGGATTCATGCAATTCGGTAGTTGGGGCATGAGAGGTCATGCGGTTGTACAATTATCTCATTAGTGGGAATTGAATGACCCTTTTGGTGAGAATGAGTGAGTGCCCCTTGGATGTCACCTCACGCAATGGCAGTGCCTTTGTTGAGTCTAGGGTGTTCGAGATGATCTCTTCACAATATAGTCCACTTGAAAGTAATGACTAGTAGCGTTGTACAAAGCTCATGCGAGGCGAGAGGTTACGAATTCCCAGTGGTTGTTGTTTTTCGATGTTATTCTCTTGATTCAAGTTGAGGCGGGAGAGTGAAAGCTTTGAAATTGACAGATTCTACGAGAGCATTCTCGCTGTTAATCTGAAGCGTTATTGAGATTATAATGTGCTAATTGATGTTGGGGATCTCGGGGCAGGAATTTCCGAGAGCACAGTATGAACTATGAACGGAATTCTTGGGGTGATGCCTCAGGCGAGTAGCAGTGAATGGGCGCTGTCGCAAAGAAGTTGGAAGGAATTTGAACACGAGATTTGTGGGGCAAGGAACGCTTTGTAAATTGGGAATATAAAATTTCTTATAGTTACGAAATGGGAACATCACTTTCAATATGGGTTCTGATTATGGCTGTTCTAGTGTGGTTTTTCGCATCAGATCCCCTGGAACTCTCATCTTTATCCGGCATTGAAGATTTTCAGGCTCAATATGTCGCCCCACCTCCTTACAACCCCCTCTCAGGCATCTCTCGTGACGTGGAGAGCAAACTGCAAGCTGCAGAAATTTTAGGACAAGGTGAAATCTTTGGACCTGAGAGCCTTGCCTTTGATGCTCAAGGTAATGGCCCTTTTACTGGACTTAGTGATGGGCGGATAGTGCGCTATGATGGGCCTGAGCTTGGTTGGACCTCTTTTGCCACTACCAGCAAGAATCGGTAACGCTCTACTCTTCAATTCTCATTTGCAATCCAAACTTCTTAGCTCTAAGTAATTTTATGTGTGACGATCATTTTTAGCGATAGAATCTGATGTCTGGTCTGTTCATCGTTCTTGTCCTCTTTAGTCTCTTCAAAGTCGCAATTGCACAATTTTAAGTTAATGGATCGCATCATTCATGAGAACAGTTTGTGGTCGTTGCGTCAAGAATCTTGCACTGTATCACACTCTGACATGGTCATGCTACATCAGGTCTGCCATATGTGACTACAATCACATACCAGAAGCAAAGCTGGATTATGAGCATATTTGCGGTCGTCCCTTGGGACTACGTTTTGACAAAAGAACGGGGGAGCTTTACATTGCCGATGCTTACCTTGGAATTTTGAAAGTCGGTCCACAAGGTGGTTTAGCCGAGCCTGTGGTGACAGGGTTTAACGGAGAGTCGTTCAAACTATGCAATGACCTTGATTTTGATGAGGATGGCAATCTCTATTTCACTGTCAGCAGCACCAAATATCAACGCAGGTATATCTATCTCCCGCACTGTGTCATGAATTACCGCCTCATAAGCCTTTAGATTTGCCAGTAGTTGTGCAAATTACTTCCGATTATTGAATTCAGTCAGAGTTGCCCATGCAGACAATTTTTTCTGTCTAGACTGGAGCTAGATAATACGGGCAGGTTTTTTAAATACGATCCTGTTAGCAAAGAGACCACGGTCCTGATACAAGGGCTGCGATTCCCTAATGGCGTGGCGGTGAGCAAAGATGGTACATTCGTGGTAATTGCTGAATCCAACATGGCAAGGTTAGTCTCTAAGCTCATGTATACGGATGTTGGTTAATGTTACGAGCTTGCGAAAGCCTGTAGTACGATAGACTAAAGTGTAATCATACTCATGTACCAGTTTTATGCTTTTATGGTCTGAAATGATATTGTTCTAGGGGTTAGAATGTTGAATAGTTTCAGTGACTTACGAACTCTCCATCCTCGATTTGCAGGTTGCTGAGGTACTGGCTCAAAGGACCCAAAGCTAGTACGTGGGAAGTATGGATGGATCTTCCTGGAGTGCCAGACAACGTACGTCGGAATGAAAATGGAGATTTTTGGGTTGCTTTTCACAACAAACGTACGTTTATGGAGATGTACACTGGGGCACTTCCATGGCTGCGTCATCTTGTTGCCAAGCTCCCTATTCCTTCGAAATACTTGTATGCAATGTTAGCACCGAAACCTCATGCTCTAATCCTTCGTTATAGTTCCGAAGGTCAATTGCTGGAAACTCTCGAGGACCAGCCGGGGAAGGTCGTTAAGGTTGTAAGCGAGGTAGAAGAGCATGATGGGAAGTTGTATATAGGTACTGTCTTGTTTCCTCAAGTAGCTATGTACGCCTTATCGTCTTCAGCCTAAACCCCCTCTTCTTTGCGCGTGTCCAATTCCTAGATTTCAACACTCGTTGGTGATTCAGATAATCTCTAGAGCGCTATCATCACTTGTACCCCTGTTAATTTGGGACAGTTCATGCTTGTGAATTTAATTTTGGTTAAAATGGGTTCAAAACACTTCATTGTGTTTTGCGGCTGCCAATGTAGCTATCGAGGCACCCATGCGCTTGATTCTCTGCACTCCAGTTTTACTTTTTGGATGCATCTTCTCAGTGTGTCCACGTAATGCACTTCGGAGGCAACCAAAGAAAGACAACCATGAAATGCTCACAAACGCTAAGTGTTCAATGTCTAATGTACAACAGAAGTGCTGGTGGTGACAACGAATCCCCTAGAACCGTCTCTGACATAGACCGAGAATGATCTTCAATGGATAACGCCACGCGAATCTCTTTCAACCACCACATAGCATATATAAAGCTCTTCTCAGTACCGAATCCAAAACTACTAAATTTCAGCTGTATTCGTGCGTGTGAGACGTAAGATCTCCAAGCCTATCAGTTCCTTGTGTAATGTCACTGACTCCATTCACAGGAACAAGCACAACCTATTGCAGCAAATACATCCATGCTTGTTTCATTTGTACCTGCTCGGAGATGAGGAGCTGTTTTGTCGCTAGCAAGTGCAGTCATCTTGGTTTCTATGAGTTAAAACTGCAAGAAATGAGAAGTTGGAATTCCATCTTTGGTGGAACTTGGCTAAAGCGTTTCTAGTTGCCAACTTTTACTGTGTCGTGTGAATATCCAGCATCCAGAACATAGCAAAGTGAGTCCCAGTAATTAAACCTTGCCAATTTCACCAGTGAGTTTCCCCTCCAGTTGACGAAGTGATCAAGAGCCGTGGAGCTCGTTTCTTCCCAGGATTTTTAGAGAGTGTCTTCTGTTGCAGGACACTCCTCTAACAATGGCCACTTTCGCTTGTTCGATAGCTGCCTTCGTCCCAGCGGCCAGCTCAAGCTACCACGCGCATTACAATGACGGAAACCATAGAAGCGGTCACTTTTTGGCTATGTCGCGCAAGGGGACTAGGGTTCAGAGCCAATCACTGTCGTCAACTCTTCGGATAAACACGGTGCGTATAGTCATACTAACTTGCAACGCTGCATTACCAGAATCGGATCAACCCCCGAAGGATTTGCAAGTTCCGAGAGATTGGACTTCACCCTCAGTTGCGGCCCAGGCATGCACTTCCCCCCTCTTCCCTACACTTCCAATTTGCATTTAGATTATTAGCCAAGTCTCTTCTTTTGCTGCAATTTTCAGAGAATTATCTGCAAAAATTGGCAATACTTTTCCTTATGTGCATTTAGGGTTACGCGTAAATCGTTAGAACCGATGGCTCAGAACCGAACCTGCTCCATTTGCATCAAATAGAGTAGATAGTCCCAACCAACTTCGGTTCTAGCATGACGTTCCCTCCATCAGCAATATCCCTCAATGTCAACCTCATAGAATACGAATTGCTTGCGAAATTTGAATTCCGAAGTCTATTCTCCTCAACGATACCAACCCAAAGTGCACAGTGGCCTCAAAATTTGTGCAGGAGGCAGAGTGGCTGCGAGGAGCACTGCACCAGTGGCTAGACGACGAGTACTGCCCAGAGCCAGCGAACGAGGAGATCAGCAAGCGATGCTCCACAGCGTACCTGCGTTGCTTAACCGAGGGGCAGGTCGACATGGGCGAGATTCTGATGCAAATGGTGCGGGCGTTGGAGAGCTTTTCCTTCAAGGAAAGCTTCCACGGCGTTTTCAGCTCAGCAAACGCAGCCATCGACCTCATCACTAAACGCATGAATGACGCACACGACAGTTAAAAACCAAGGTCTCTAGCTTCCCACTGCGACGATCGTTGCCTCCAAATCTTGCAACAAGCATCAAAATTTCTCGCTTGGATTATGCTCTCACTCGATACAGGATCACTACCACAATGGTGCCGGTAGAGGACAGACAGACACCCTAGTATCCTCTTGTGTTGATTACTTTGTTTCTGCAAATATATGTTCACTTTTGCGTTGTTGTTGGTTCTAGCTCATAAGCAATATTGTTTGTGTTTGCAACCCTGCCTTTTGCAAAAGTAGTTGGAACAAGAGCTGCAGAATATGTATTTGTGTGTTGCAATTCTAGGTGCAATTCATGTAAGAATCTGAATATGGTCCATTTGTAATAATTGAGTACAGTCACATTCAATATTACTTTTATTTATTGCTTTGCATATTGATTTGTTGATCAGAATCTCAATATTTGTTTCTTTGTTGGATAATTTTACATATGTGAAAAATCAATAAATAAGTAAATAAAACACTTACACTTGTATCTACTTTTGGCTTTGCAATGGTTGTAATGGCAATATTTTTATTTATTTATTTTATTTTTGTATTGTTACCATTTTAATTTGATTTGATGAATGTATATAATATATGTAGAGAGAAAGAAAGAAAGAAAGAGAGTTGTTAAAGCTACACCACAATGTTGTTAAAGCCACACCTTCCTTGTCATCTCACAATTGATTTAGTCTCTATCCCTTGTTTTTGTCTCCATCTCTCTTGTTCATATTTCTAGCTTGAGATAGGCCTCACTTCACACCCTTCTTCTCGCTTGTTCCATTTGCAAAACACCCAACTTGCAAAATCCATTTGTACACCTCAAGCTTAGTACAAATACATATATATATATATATATATATATATATATATATATTTGATTCAAAAATAATACAATCAAAATTAAATTATATGTATTACAAATGTCTCTTTATAACTCCCCACAAGACCAGTGCATTCTTGCTTGCTCACAATGCATCTCCATGTTGCAGATTAGGTACTTTATACTATCTTAAACTTTGCAATTACCCATGTTTATAGATAAACATTGAAACAATCAAGAATTGATAGTCTTGAATGGGAATAAAAAGAAGGAAGAAAAATATTAAAATTGTATTCATTAAATGGATTGAGTTCTGTCTACAATTGTATAAGCTACAAAATGATATTATTTGTTGAAACAAAAATGCATAGATAACATGCACGAGCTTGTTGACATCTATATATGGCCAAATCTTCACACTTTTTCATATATGTCTTCTATAAGCTTTGCTTTGATTGTTTTGCTTCTTCGATCTACTATTATATTTTTGGCAATCTTCATACAGCATCTTAAGTCACATTTTTTTGCCTTGTAAGCTACTAGCAAAAAGCTTGGTTTGTGCATTGGGTGTCATACAATGTATACAGATGGACATGCAAAAGCTATTGAACAACACCCAACAATGGCATACAATATTTGCAATGGAGTTGTTCATTGTTAACTCTATAGTTGTCACACAAATTTTTATTACGCACTTATTTTGGAATTTGAAGAGAAAATAAGGGAGATGAGAATAAGGAACAAGGATGGAAACAAAGGAGCTAGAAATAACTAACACGGATGGGAACAAGGGATAGAAAGTGAATCAATCATGAGATAGTAAAGAGGGATGTTGCTTTAATAACATTGGAGTGTAACTTTAACTATATTAGATATACTATATATGAGACCAAATAAGAAATTGAATAGAAGAAGTTCAACAAGAAGCTAACAAGAACTTGATTAAAGCAGATGAATACAAAATCAACACTAAGAGAAGTAACCTAAAACTCCAAAAGCTATATTCTCTAAACTAAGGATTTTCTCAGCCTTGGCTCTAATATATATTAGGTATTAAGAAGCTTCTTGAAAAGTTTCCGTTTTGCTTGAAGATGAAGCAATCTTAAAAAGCTTTTCAAATAATCTCTTAAGTCCTTCTAGAACTTTTTAGAATCTACTAGAAAATTCTAAGAATATTTTAGAATCTTCTAAAATCTAATAGAATATTTTAGAATCTTCTAAAATCTAATAGAATATTTTAAAAATGTTTCTAAAATCTTTTGTTGGATATTTGAAATATCACCTCTCTTTCTAACTCTAAGTTCCACGAAAAGCATTGGTTTTATATCTACTTTTGTCGTTACATATAACATCTTAGCAATAGCTTCATAAAAAAGTCAATTAAAATAGGCTTAGGTTTTTGAAGAAAGTATCGATGAAACTTTTATACCTTTTGCGTTGCATTAACTAGATTTTTTGTTGACTTTTGCATATCTTCATTGATATTGTAGCTATGCCAATGAATAAAATATTCCAACTTGTCTCTTTTTCATTGAGAATCAAGGATATTTTCCACCTCATATTCTACATGATTATTTATTTCAATATAAGGTAGTAATGGTTGTATTCTTTCTAGAATAATTGATTTTGAATAAGTCTCTAATGAGAAATATGAAAGACTAGATGTACCTTAATAGATGTGGGTAGTTCCAACCAATAAGCCATTAGATTGATTTGCTTTTGAATGCAAAATGGCTCTAGTTTTTGATAGCCCAACTTATTACAAGACCAATTGGTCTTGATATTTTGTTGAAGAAGCCATATTTTATCTTCAATTTAAAAAGCAGGAGATTCTTTTCTAAATTTGTTTAAAAATACTTTGTAAGAATCTTGAGATGTTTATAGATGGAACTTCAAAGTTGTTTAGAGCTTTGACAATTATTTTGCACGATCTTTAGCTATTGGATTTTCATACTTTGATATATCTAATAAATCAAGCTTTAAATAGTAACCATTATTGGAATAAAATAGTCTTTCTTGAGTGAAAGCATGAATAATACTATTATGAGTAAATTTTGCTAAAGATAAATACAAGGTCTAATCATCTTGCTAATAATTGATGGTACATTGCAAATACTACTCCAAAACTTGATTGATTTATTTTGTTTGATCATTGGTTTGATATCCACCTTCAATATTTCAAAAATAGATTTTCAAAACTTTGATATTAATTGAGATCCTCCATTAGAAATGATGTCATTAGATAGGCTATGATATCAATATATATATATATATATATATTATCAAAAAAGATCCTTGCCATTTCTTTTCCAAAAATTAACTTTTTGCATAGAAGAATGTACCATTATTGTAAATCAATCTACAACAATACAAATAGCATCAAATATAGTTAATGGTGGCAAATCAGTGATAAAATCCATTGATATTAAAGACCATGGTCACTTTGAAATTAGTAGTGGCTATAGAAGTTCATAAAGACAATATTAAGAGTTCTTAAATCTTGAACAAATGTCACATAAAAGAATAAAGTCCTTCATAGTCTTTCACATTTGAAGCCACCAATAATCTTGAGAAATAAGCTCCAATTTTTTGTTAAATCCAAAATGTTCTATAGTTGGAAAATCATGACAAGATTGAAGAACACAAAGTTGCATTGCTCCTTCTAGAATATATAAATGATCTTTAAAATATAAAAGATCTTTTATATTCTTGAACATGTCATTGTGAAGGCTTTGCTTAATATTACAAACTAATGAGTCTTTAGTTTTTGCTATACAAATTTGTTCAAAAAAACTTAAATCAAGAAGTGTAGCTATAGAAGTAGAATACAGACAAAATTGTTTTGGCTTCAAAAAAATAGTATATTCTTGATGAAATACTGCTTCTCCAACCTTTGGAGCAAGATATGATCTCCTTGATAAAGCATCTAATAGTCTTTGCTTCTTTCTTATTAAATATATAATTCCAAAATCAAAATAAGATAATGATATATCCCAATAAGCTTGGCGACAATTCAAAACTTGAATTGATATGAAATACTCTAAATTTTTATAAACTGTATATAGTTATAAGATATATAGTATCTTTTAATAAGTTATACTATTTTTAGAAATATTCTATATTTATTAGAAATTCTTTATGATGAATTTCATAATTGATCTCTACAATTGAATTTTTTTAAAAATAGAATGCAACTATGTCAAGCTTTCCATCTTTTTTTTTTATTTGTGATAGTATAGCTCTTAATATAAAGTCAAAAGCATCAATCACCAAATAGAACCTTTGTAAAATCTAAATATAATAAGATTAGAGCTATAATAAAAGATGCATTTAAATCTTCAAAAATCCTTTGTGCTTGAGGTTCTTATTTGAATTTATCTTTGGATGTCAACTAAGTGAAAGGAATAACAACTTAGAAATAATATTAAATAAATTTTAAATAAAAATTATCAAATTCAAAGAAACATTATATATCTTGTATTGTCTTTGGAGTTGTTCATTACATTACAACTTCAACTTTCTTTGGGTCCATCAATAGGCCTTCATTGGATATAATATATCCAAAAAATTCTACTTTTGGTTAATGGAATATACATTTTTTCAATATGGCATATAATCTTGTATCTCGTATTTTTGTAAGACTAATCTCATATATTCTTTATGTTCTTCAAAAGTCTTGGAATAAATTAAGATATTATTAAGATTGTAGACAACAAACTTATCTAAGAATTTTCAAGAAACATTATTCATGAGATGTTAGAATATAGTTGGAGTATTTGTCAATTCCAAAGACATAACTTTATATTCAAAATGTCCATATTTTTTTCAAAGTATTATCTTCCATTCATCTCCTTCTTAAATCTACACCAAATTGTATATTCTTCAGAGATTTATTTTAGTATAGATATTTGTTTGATCGAGTTGTTCCAAAAGCCTTGATATCAACAATATTTGATAACAATTCTTCATTGTTATTTTGTTGAAGCTACAATAATAAATATATATTTTAATGATATATCTTTTTTCTTCACAAAAAGTATTAGTGCACTTGTTGGAGATTTGAAATATTGAATAAAGTTCTTCGCAAGATTTTTGTTGATGTAATCTTTCAATGCCAAAACCTCCTTCTGCAATAGGTTGTAGATTAGGCCAAATGGTGATTGAGCAACTTCTTGAAGATCAATGGCACAATCATACAATTGATGCTCTAATAATATGTGAGCATTTTTTTTCAAAGACACCTTGAAATTTTTTATACTACTCTAAGATATCTACTATCAAGCTTACTTCTTTACAAGTTGGAATTGTATAAATAACAAATGACATTTCTTTCTTAGTTGTCTTCATAAAAGCCCTTGTTTTAAGAAATAAGAGCTTTATTATTGATGACTTCTTAATAGATTTTATCTAAAGGAATTCTATAGGAAATTTAATCTTAAAAATTTCTAATCTATAGATTAATCATATCTTTTTAACCATAAAAGTCTTAGTATAATAGGATTAGATGGAGTTTTAATAATATTGAATATTATTTTACTTTTGTAGCCTTTAAATG